ACTTAAACGCGTCGCGCGCTTGAAAATGTACCGGCTAAAAATTCAGTACAGTGTGAAACTGAGCTTGATGGGCTTCAATGTTTAGGGAATGTATGCCTGCTACTGGTCCTCTTTCGCATCATATCTTCTTTTCAGTTACCACACTCGTAAGGTGTAAGTTATGTGGAAGTCAAACTATGACGTGAAGTACATACGTGAACAAATGCACGGAGCGATTAGGTCCAATAGATGGCAATTCAAATCAAGCAAAGACAAGAAGTCGCTTTGTGCACCCCGAAGGCCGGATTTTCAGCAATCCCATAACCACAGTGTCAACAATAAAAAATGTGGGAAATATAATGCAGCAATTAAAAAAGTGAAACGGACAGTATCATCCCAAAACAAATGGCGTACCGTGGTATTCATCATTGGTTTAAATTAGTATTTTGCACAGATTTTCTGTGACGACTTCATGGTTTGTGAGAAATCTGGTGAGATACAGGACAATAGAGGAGCGCCTGTAAGCCTCAGTGCGTGTCGTCCTAAGTTTATCACCGGAACGGATGGATAAATAAGAAATGCACTAATTAAGAGCAAAATAAAGAGGATACGAACAACCAGGTAAAATGTTCTTGGTGGATATTTGACAGGCATTGAGTTGGTATACCGTTACGTGGTGTACCAGATATTCTCGTCGTATAAAACTTCAGACTATCAGAAGTTTGAGGGATTGAGAAATGATTTTGAGGTACTTGTTCCAAAATACCGGGGAAGATAACAGAATGGGGCTGTAACTGATTGACTGAAGATACTGACAGCTATAACAGTGACCCGACAGCAGTGATGTTCTTGTTTTCACTTCTTATCAAGTCAAAATACGTGAATGGAAGTGTCTGCACAGCCACAATATTTATTGTGTAATGTGTATTTGTGTGTGAAACACTGAGACGAATGTTCCGTAGTGAAGGCTTCAGACCGTGAGTAAAATTAATCATGCCAGGCCGTAGGTTGTGTCGTTCTAGCTTGTCAAAAACGTCCGTTCAAATATTTCATATGCTTTTCCGAGTACCAGAATAATAACCTTATTTGACCGTTGTCTATTTCCCTTATATCACACATAGCAGAATCATTATTTCCCAGGACAACCACCTACCTTTCTCCTCTCTCAAAAGTGTTCTCTCCGTATTGATCTTCCGCATTTTTGCTTAATTTTTATATTATGTCCAAGGCAAAGAACACAGTAGTTTGCATCATATGTATTGACTGCAAATCAACGACGACGACGGCAACGATGATGATGATATTGATACTAATGTTGCTGCTGCTGCCGCTGATGATGATGATTCGGATGATGATTCGGATAATGATGATGATGATTCGGATGATGATGATGATGATGATGATTCGGATGATGATGATGATGAGGATTCGGAAGATGATGATGATGATGATGATGATGATGACGATGATGATTCCGATGATGATGATGACGATTCGGATGATGATGATGATGATTCGGATGATGATGATGATGATGATGATGATGACGATGAAGATAATCATGATGATTCGGATGATGATGATGATTCGGATGATAATTCGGATGATGATCATTCGGATGATGACGATGCTGATTCGAATGACGACGATGATTCGGGAGATGATGATGATGATTGGGATGATGATAATGATTAGGACGATGATGATGATTCGGATGATGATGATGATGATGATGATGATGATGAGGATGATTCGGAAGAAGATGAAGATGATGATGATGATTCGGAAAATGACGACGATGATTCCGATGATGATGACGATTATTCGGATAATGATTCGAATGATGATTCGGATGATGATGATGATGATTCGGATGATGATGATGATGATTCGGATGATGATGATGATGATTCGGATGATGATGATGATGATTCGGATGATGATGATGATGATTCGGATGATGATGATGATGATGATGATGATGATGATTCGGATGATGAATCGCATGAAGATGATGATGATTCGGATGATGATGATGATGATTCAGATGATGATGATGATGATGATGATGATTCGGATAATGATGATGATGATTCGGATGACTCGGATGATGATGATTCGGATGATTATGACGATGTTTCGGATGATGATGATTCGGATGATGAAGATGGTGATGATGATGATGATTCGGATGATGATGATTCGGATGAACATGATGATGATTCGGATGAAGATGATGATGATTCGGATGATGATGTTGATGATGGTGAATCGGATGATGATGCTGATGATTCGGATGATGATGATGGTGATGGTGATGATGATACGGATGATGATCATTCGGAAGATGATGATGATCATTCGGATGATGATGATTCGAGTGATGGTGATGATTCCGATGATGACGATGATGATTCGGATGAGGATCATTCAGATATTGATGATGATTAGGATGATGATGATGACGATGATGCTGATGGTGATGATGACGATTTTTCGAATGATGATGATAATGAAGATGATGATCATTCGGATGATAATTCGGATGATGATGATGATTCGGATGATGATGAATCGGATGATGATGTGTCGCATGATGATGATGATGATTCGGATGATGATGATTCGGATGATGATTCGGATGATGATGATGATGATGATGATTCGGATGATGATGATTCGGATNGAATGATGATGATGATGACTCGGATGATGATGATGATGAAGATGACTCGGATCATGATGATGATGATTCGGATGTTGATTCAGATGAGGATTCGGATGATGGTGTTGATTCGGATGGTGATGATGATGGTGATGATGATGATGATGACGACGAGGTTACGCATGATGATGGTTCGAATGATGGCGACGATTCGGATGATGATGATAATGATACGGATGATGATGATTCCGATGATGATGATGATGATTCTGATGATGACTCGGATCATGATGATGATGTTTCGGATGATAATGATGATGATTTGGATGATGACGATGACGATTCGAATGATGATGATGATCATTCGGACGATGATGATGACGATTTGGATGATGACGATGATGATGAGGATGATGATGACGGTGATCCGGATCATGATGATGATTCGGATGATAATGATGCGGATGATGATGTGTCGCATGATGATGATGATGATTCGGTTGAAGATGATGATGATGATGACGATTCGGATAATTCGGATGACGATGATGCTGATTCGGATGATGAATCGGATGATGATGATGATGATTCGGATGATGATGTTGATGTTTCGGATGATAATGATGATGATTCGGATGATGATGATGATGATTCGGATGATCATGATGATGATTCGGATGATGATGATGATGATGATTCGGATGATGATTCGGATGATGATGATGATGATGATGATCTGATAATGATGATTCGGATGATGATGATGATGATTCGGATGATCAAGATGATTCGGATGATGAATCGGATGATGATGATGATGATTCGGATGATGATGATTCGGTGATGATGATGATGACTCGTATGATGATGATGATGATTCGGATGATGATGATGATGATTCCGATGATGATGATTCCGATGATGATGATGATGATTCGGATGAGGATGATGATGATTCGGATGATGATTCGGATGACGATGATTCCGATGATGAAGATGGTGATGATGATGATGATTCGGATGATGATCATTCGGATGATGATGATGATCAATCTGATGATGATAATTCGGATGATGATGATGATTCGGATAATGCTGATGATGATTAGGATAATGGTGATGATGATGATGACTGGGATGATGAAGATGATGATGATGACTCGAATGATGATGATGATGATGATTCGGATGATTTTGATAATGATGATGATGTTGATTCGCACGATAATTCGGATTATGATNNNATGATGACGATTCGGATGATGATGATGATTCGGATAATGCTGATGATGATTAGGATAATGATGATGATGATGATGATGACTCGGATGATGAAGATGATGATGATGACTCGAATGATGATGATGGTGATGATTCGGATGATGATGATGATGATTCGGATGATGACGATGATGATGATGACTCGGATCATGATGATGATGATTCGGATGTTGATTCAGATGAGGATTCGGATGATAGTAATGATTCGGATGGTGAGGATGATGATGATGATGATGGTGATGACGACGAGGATACGGATGATGATGGATCGAATGATGATGATGATGATGATTCGGAACATGATTCGGATGATGATGATGATGATGATTCGGATGATGATTCGGATGATGATGATGATGTTTCGGATGATAATGATGATGATTCGGATGATGAAGAGGACGATTCGAATGATGATGATGATCATTCGGATGATGATGATGGTGATTCGGATTATGACGATGATGATGATTCGGATGATGAATCGCATCATGATGATGATGAATCGCATGTTGATTCAGATGATGATTCGAATGATGGTGATGATTCGGTTGGTGATGAGGATGATGATGATGATGAAGATGACGACGAGGATACGGATGATCATGGTTCGAATGATGGTGACGATTCGGATGATGATGATAACGATACGGATGAAGATGATTCGGATGACGACGATGGTGATTCGGATGATGATTCGGATGATGATTCGGATGATGATTCGGATGATGATGATGATGA